ATCGGATGAAAAAAAATGGCTATGAAAAGATTGACTTAAATTTCCGTCCTGTAATGGAACCCATATTGAGATGAGACCCGATATAGTCTCTGTAATGAGTAAATCTCTGCCCAGCCCATCAGAAAATATGAAATGTTGATATTCAGGTATTGAAGATGCCCCACTTTTTCATCTGTGTCTGTTTGTAATTGTTATGTAAACGATAAGATGTAAAACGTTATAATTATACTCAATAATTGTCAATGATGTCGATAATGGAAACAATTTCCAATGATACTATTCAATGAAAATGATATTTCTGCAATATGTTCTATGTTAAACAATGATGTAAAAAGCCAAACAGTTTTCTTCCGTAAGGTGTATGAAAAAAAGTCCGCTATAATTGTTAATAGGTTCACTGCCTAACTAAGCATATGCATAGGAGATATGAAAAACTAGATTGAAGATTTTATGTTTTACTAGTACCTAGCGGAGATTTTTCAAACCATTAAATAAAAGCAAGGATACTGTATATGTGCTCTCCCTACATGTAATAACGCCCCCCCCCCCCCCTTCCATAATGAGTTTTATGGATAATTTCTACACGGACATGTTAAAAAAAGAACAATATTTACATATGCCTATTTATTGTATTACCTGTCATTTTTAAGGATTTATTCTTATCCTTTTCAAAAATAGCATTTTAATGATAAACTAGTAGATTAATTGTTCTCGAACAATTAGAGGTCTTTCCACCTTCTTTAAATTTCATATATTTTTCAGATTTTACTCTCTAAAGTTTATTTTTATACAAAAAGAATCCATAAATGGCTTGAAAGATAGAAAAAATGAAAAATTTAAAAATTTTGAAATGACCTTGACCTTTGACCTTGAACAAATATTCAAGGTCAAAGGTCAAGGGTCACATTGCACTTGACCCCATACTTCTACGACTTTTAGTTTTAAAGTTATAAGGTTTAATAGCAAGTGCAAAGACATTAAAGGGCGATAACTCATATAAGGGGTCATTGTATACTTTCGCACTGAATAGATTGAAGTTGTGTCTAAAGACCCTGAAGACATTAGTGAAGGTTTTGTGTCTCTACAGTTTAAGGTTTCTGAGGAGTAACGATAACAAGGTTTTCAGTAAAAGGGGCAATAATTTTCAAAGGGGTAAATTTCAGGGGACAAGCATGAAATCTTTGAAATAGTTTTAAGAGGACATATTAATGATGCAAAGGTATTTAGTATATGTTGAAAGACAAAAGAGATATAAAAAGAGCTTAATTTCTCACATTTTGAATGACCTTGACCTTTGACCTTTGCATATATTTTAAGGTCAAAAGGTCAATGAATCTTATGCAGTTGGTCCCATGTCTCTACGACTTATCGTTTTGAAAATTTTTAATTATTTGTAAACATCAAAAACTTTCAGGGGCAATAACTCATAAAATGGGTCGACGAATACTTTGCAATGAAAAGATTGAAGAGTCTCCTCAATTAGTCGAAGACATTGGTGAAGGTTCCGTACCTCTACGGTTTACGGTTTTGAAGGAGTAGCGATAACAAGGTTTTATTGCGAAAGGGGTTGTAACTCCTTAAGAGGTCAAAGTTCATATATGCAGGGTCAACTGCAAAAATCTTTTACGAAGTACATTCTTATGGACCATAAATCTTTTCGATAACTTTTGAAACAAAAAACCGTTTGGCGGAAAAATAATAAAAATAATAACTAGATGCGATCTCGTTGCGAGCAACCAGTGGGTCTTCCGTCCGATTTTTGATCAGATGAGATAAGAATTGGACAGAGATTTTCGTTTTTTTCACCCTTTTTTATATCAGCTTAAACCTCTCGTGATTTTAAAAACTTTTTGTTCAACAACTATTGAGAAATTCTTCTTCGTTTCTTAGATATATGCAAAAGAAACATTTAGGGGCTGGCCCTTCAACTCCTAAATGGGGATATTTAGCAAAAATTGAAAGTTCACATATTGTTCAGAACATTATTTTGAACATCTTTTATTCAGTATTGCTTCTCAAAATATTTCCCCCTTTTGAGATATAAAGCGTCAAAGATTTTGCACTCTGGCCCCTTATGTAATTATATAACATATAATGTATAGTTGTAAATTGTTGAGATAAACATTTTTACTTGAGTAATGCATTACAAAATATTAATCATTAAAAGGTTATTGATTAATGACTTTCCGCTCCTCTCAGCCCCTATTTTGAGGGGCCAGCCCCTTTTTTCTTCATACGACTTTAAAGCTCTCATGATTTTGAACACTTTTTGTTCAACAACTATTCAGAAATTCTTTTTCTTTTCGGAGAAATTTGCATAAGAAATATTAAGGGGCTGGCCCTTCAACTCCTTAATGGGGACATTAAGCAAAAATAAAAGGTTGCATATTGTTCAGAACATTATTATGAACATCTTTTGTTCAGTAGTGCTTATCAAAATATTCCCAACTTTTAAGATATAAAGCGTGGAAGATTTTGCATTCTGGCCCCTTATGGCCCTTAATTATGTATCATATGATGTGAATATCATAATACATAGTTATAAATTGTTGAGATAAACATTTTTGCTTCAGTAATGCATCTCAGCCCCTATTTTGAGGGGCCAGCCCCTTTTTTCTTCATATGACTTTAAAGCTCTCATGATTTTGAACACTTTTTGTTAGCTCACCTGAGCCGAAGGCTCAAGTGAGCTTTTCTGATCAAAATTTGTCTGTTGTCTGTCATCATCGTCGTCGGCGTCGTTGTTGTCGTAAACTTTTCACATTTTCATCTTCTTCTCCAGAACTACTGGGCCAATTTCAATCAAACTTGGCACAAAGTATCCTTGGGTGAAGGGGTTTCAAGTTTGTTCAAATGAAGGGCCGTGCCCTCCTCCAAGGGGAGATAATTACGAAATAGCAAAAAATTAATGGCATTATTGAAAAATCTTCTTCTCAAGAACCAGTGGGCCAGGAAAGATGAAACTCATGTGGAATTATTGTCAGGTAGTGTAGATTCAAGTTTGTTCAAATCATGACCCCTGGGGATAGGGTGGGGCCACAATGGACAATCAAAGTTTTACATAGGAATATATAGGAAAAATCTTCAAAAATCTTCTTCTCAAGAACAGCAAATCTATGATTGGTCATATTTATTTGGAAGCATCCTCAGGTGGTGTAGATTCAAGTTTGTACAGATCATGACCCCTGGGGATAGGGTGGGGCCACATTGGACGATCAAAGTTTTACATAGAAATATATAGGAAAAATCTTCAAAAATCTTCTTCTCAAGAACAGCAAAGCTATGATTGGTCATATTTATGTGGAAGCATCCTCAGGTGGTGTAGATTCAAGTTTGTTCAAATCATGACCCCCAGGGGTAGGGTGGGGCCAGAATGGATGATCAATGTTTAACATAGGTGTACATAGGAAAAATCTTCAAAAATCTTCTTCTCAAGAACAGCAAAGCTATGATTGGTCATATTTATGTGGAAGCATTCTCAGGTGGTATAGATTCAAGTTTGTTCAAATCATGACCCGGGGGGTAGGGTGGGGCCACAATGAACGATCAAAGTTTTACATAGGAATATATAGGAAAAATCTTTAAAAATCTCAAGAACAGCAAAGCCACGGTTTGTCATATTTGTACGGAAGCATCCTCAGATAGTGTAGATTCAAGTTTGTTCAAATCATGACCCCCACTTCCTTTTTAGGGGTAGGTTGGGACCACTTATGCATTTAAGCTTTTGAATACTAAACTGAATTCAGAAATTCTTTTTCGTTTCTGAGAAATTTGCATAAGAAATATTTAGGGGCTGGCCCTTCAACTCCTTAATGGGGACGTTTAGCAAAAAATAAAAGGTTGCATATTGTTCAGAACATTATTTTGAACATCTTTTGTTCAGTAGTGCTTATCAAAATATTTCCAACTTTTGAGATATAAAGCCTGAAAGATTTTGCATTCTGGCCCCTTATGGCCCCGAATTATGTAATATATGACATTAATATTATAATATGTAGTTGTAAATTACAGTTTAAAAGATATGATACAAAATATCTCGAAAATTCACTCATGATTCGTGTCCTAAATTTCAACCCCTACCGAGCCTCCATACTAGGCGCTTCCGGAAAATTTCAAAACCGAGATGCACAACTACAACATGTCATCTATCATCACTGAAAAGTTCAGCATTCTAACTTTTGTCATTCTTGAGTTTTTGTGTAGACAAAATGGTCACAAAAATTCGATTAAAAGGCGATAACTTCCGACCGGAAGTGAATTTCCAAATATTAAAGAAAATGTATCAGGTTTAGATCACGATACATCATCCCTGAAAATCTCAAATAAATCCGTCCAAGCATTTCTGAGAAATCATCTGCACAAAAATTGGGACAGAAAAAAATAATAATAACTAGATGAGATCTCGTTGCGAGCAATGAGTAGGTCTTCCGTCCGATTTTTCGATAAGATGAGATATGATTTTGACTATGATCTTTGCTAAAAGATAATAATATATAGACTTACCTAATTAGATTTTATTCTTTTGATTTTTATAACATTATCAAAGAACTATAGAGAAACATGCTTTTGGCCCCTCTGATCCCCTAGTTTGAGGGGTCAACCCCTTTTTCTTGATATCAAATGAAAGGTCTTGTGATTTTGAAGACTTTTTAGCTCACCTGAGCTGAAAGCTCAAGTGAGCTTTTCTGATCACCCGTTGTCCGTCGTCCGTCCGTCTGTCCGTGTTTACGAGAGTGCATTTATTGGGTTCTTTTTATACACAGTTGGTACTTATTGGGTACTTTTTGCTAATTGGGTATACCCAATAAGAAGTGTCGCTAAATTTACTTAAAATGCCTTAATTGGGTATTTGCCGGTTAGTACCCAACACAACTTGGACACGATGACTTGTCCAAAAAAATGTCTGAAAAAGTTGTTTCTACGGACTCACCGTATTTCGATCTTGGTTTTACACTCGGAACGCTAAATTTAACACAAGTAACCCCCGAGAGTTCCGAAAATCAACTTCCGTTAGTCTTGATCTTTGCGGCGTTTTGTTTTGACCAAAAAATATGGCGACTTAGAAGCGCTCGAGGTCAACTCAACAAGAGCAAAAGTAAGTTTCTTCGATTTATTTACCCATTGATAGATGTCTTGCTTAGGTAAATTTGATTTAAATGTAAAATTGATTAAAATATAATATTTTTTACGTTAATGTGTACAACAGTAGGATAAGTATCGGAACAATTAATTTAAATGATACTTGTATGTATTTGGAATTTCCTCTGTCTTCATCGACTTGATATGGCGCGAGCTTCATTTAGAAAACTATCGTATACATAATCTTTGATAAATCAGAAGTGTTAATTATTAAATTTTATATAATAATAAACTTTTGTATGTTTTGACGAGGTATATAGAAGGTAATAAAAATTTTGACAATCGTTTGTCCATAAATTGTTGGGTATCGTTTCATGTAGTGTAAAGATAGCAGAGATGATGATAGATGGGCGTAATTGACAATAACTAGATAACTGTATATAAGTTAATCACATCTGATATGTAAGGAAATCATAATTGCTGTATAATTAGTGAAGATCTGGCACACAGCCTCTCTACATTTCACAACATACCTAACATATTCCCATCATGCAATCACAGGCACTTGAATGGATGAAGTTATTACTTTTCTTTTAATGAAGAAAAAATATACCCCTACCTATTAAGGTAGGGGTATATTTTTCTTAAAAGAAAAATAATGACAGGGCTTCTGCATGTTATGTAGTAAGGTTTATCTAAAAATATAGAGACAAATTTCTTATTTTACCATTGCACAGGTGGATCAATTACCAAATGATGTAGAGATATGCCAAGGTAAGAGCACTTAATGTGTTGCACATAAAATTCACAATATTAATTTTAAAATGAACAATGACATGACAGAATACCCCTATCAATTACATTCTCTTACCATTTTTTTTCAGTCTCAAAAAATTCTTTCTGTTAGATTTTTACAGTATTGAATGATCATTTCTTATCAATTCAAGAAATCTATTTGGGATAAGAAAGGAATGAACATTTTCCAATTTTATGAAAAGATATTCAGGATATTCATTCATGTAATAAATTGCACAAATGTGGATGAGTGTATCCTAGTCTACTTGGAAGCCTTGGCTTTTTTTCCGAACTTGACATAGAATTGTGACTGAGGGGATTTAAAAAGTCTGAAAATAGAAATGGTAAAAATTTAAAATGGTAATAAACATTCATGAGGTTGCATACAAATTTTTTTTTTTAAATAAACTTTGTTTTCTATGGTCATTATTAATGTTCTGTCAAGTTTTTATGTAAAGCAGTAGCCATCTTCATAGCAAAATTTGAGTACATAGACTATTTTTAAAAATGAAATTTACCAGAAATGGAAGTTAAAACAGAACAAAACACAAGACATATTTCAGAGTGCTTGCATGTAATATTTTTAATAACATGTACTTTATTAGACTTGTGTATGAAGAATACTGTGCATGTAGCTTTTTCCATCTGGTTCATCATTTTGCTTTATCTGACTGTGGTAAAAAAAACTGCCAACTTCCGTAGAAATCATTGAAAATCAACTAAATTGCTCAGTGTTCTTGAAAAAAAAAAATAACACTGGACATTCGGACCGACAGTCTGATGCATTTCACAGGGCCAAATGAATTTCTGCCGAACCGAAATTTTTTATCAACAAAAAGCCGTTTATTTTTATCAGCTGTTTTCCTAGACTTTCAGAAATTTAGTTGCGTTATGTGCATTATGGTTTGGCGACCTATTGCTGTGTTTATTTTCGTAAACAGGACAAACAATAGTAAAGCAACAAAATAAAATAACAATATCAAATACACTATTTATTAAGTTGTATTACTGAGAAACTTAATCTAATGAATAAAATTTAATGTACACCATGGTCCACCTTGTCTGTAAACTTTAATTTTTCAATCCTATTGTGAGCCATTGGGCAAATTGAACCAAACTGGACAGGAACTTGACAAGAATGTTTCTTTGTGGATTCTACACATTAATTGTTTTTTTTTTGTTGTTGTTGATTTAAAAGTCAACTTGGCTGACCAGTACAGACTAGAATATTTATTTATAGCTTGATACACTTCATTCTACATAATAAACATATAGCTCTGGAATTCAAATAGTTGTTTGACTTTGATAAATTTCTTTACTTGAAAATATAGGATGTACAATAGTTTCTAGAATCTTGATGAGACTGTTTTTGTGTTTTCAGGTATTTGACATATCACCCCAACAACAACAATGGCTGACAAATCACTTGGGTCATACAGTAGACGTCCATAAAATACATTATAGGCAGATCTCGGGGGTCATTGAGCCTGTGGACATTTCCAAACTTGTGCTGTTAACAGTGTATGGCTTGACTGTGAAAAATGCTTGCAGAAAATTGACAGATATCACACTGGAAGGTAATGATGTTGATTTTTTTAAGAGCTTATTATAAATTGAATTGCCTGTAAATCTGAAATGTTATGAATACTCCTATTTAATTATATCTGTCTTTGGATGGGGATGAAAATGTCATTTATTTAAAACTTTGTATTATATAAATCTTGATTGATTACATTTATTGAGTGAAAATTTCCATTTTATTCCACTTGAATAGAATATGTAAATAAGTCTAATTGGTCCCCTTCATTTTTGCATAAGTTTACTGTTTTTTAGATCACCTGACTCACCTAGGTGACCTATTGCTATTTGGTTCCCGTCCACTGTCTGATAACACTTTGAAATTGAATCAAGAGTCAAATACAAATGTGTACTGGTGATTTAATTGCAGCATGAATAAAGTGGATGGAGGCAAAACTGAAGGAGGTGCATGAATATTTCAGAGAATGTCTGAACACAAACACCACTCCAGGAAGAAAAGATTGCAATATGGCAATAGAAAAGAACAGGGCCAATGAAGGTACCATACAGTATAAGCCATGGGAGTCCCTGAGGAAGAAAGTATGGAGCATAATCCAGAAACAAAAATTAAACCATTTTGACATTTTTTATTATATAGGATTAAAGCCCTACCTGTGAAATTTTGTCACGCAGTGATGTTTGACTCTTCCCCTGCTCTAATTACAGTGAATATTTGATTGAATATTTTGATGCAGATTTGTAGAAAAGATTTGACATAGTGCATAAGTTTTTAGTTTTTAGACAAAGTAGTTTATTAATTGTACTTGCTGAATTTGAGTTAATGGTGAATATCACAAGTCATTTCTTTTATTACAGGGAATATATGCATTGTATCTGTATTGTACAGGAAGCTGTATGATTTATTTTACAGTAGCATGTAATCAGTTTGAGATTATTTCTTTTATATGACAGAAGAGAATTTTCATTAACCTGAAGAATGTTTGGTTTAGAAAGATGCATGTATATAAACTTTTTTATGGATTTTCTGTACTGTTAATGAGATTTTTTTATTTTATCAGAGCAACTGATAGAAAATATGCACTCAGGGGTGGAATCTATTTAGCAATGTGGCACTAGAGAATATATAGCAATTTCATGGATTTTCTTCTGTTGATGAGAATTCGTTTAATCATAGCAACTGATAGCAAATATTTACAATTAAGGGATCTGATTTATTTAGGGCTACTTGGACCTTTTGTCATTAAAGAGGCATTGGCACAGATTTGAAGCTAATATTTTTCAAAATTGTCAGTATAATATCATAACTTTAATAGCATTTCAGACTGACATTGTTAAAGCGTGTTATGAAACTTCATTTCTCATAAAATTATAAAAGAATGAATTTTGGGTGTGTATGATTGCTGTACATTCTTGCATTTTCTCAAACTAAAATTCATCCTTAGTATTTAAAAAAAGTGGAAATTCTGTGGCATATCAATAGAACATATTAAAACTGTATTCAAGAAAAGTGATAATAAAAATGTAGAAAGCAAAAACCGATTCACCAGTGTTTTCGGTAAGTGTGCAGTGATGTGTGCAAAGTTAGCAAATCTAACAAGTCCAGTAAAAAGTAAACAAAAACAATAACAGAGCTTGTGCCATGTTTACAAATGCAGTGTTTGATGTAATGTTATGAAGAATATTGTTGTCACTAAATTTTAAGAATTCCTCCAAGTTCAAACCATTTAACTGATTTTTTTTAATTAAATTAGAAATTTAAAATAAGAAACGAAACTGCAATATGAAGTGTTGGTTGTATTCTGATGAAGGGATTCAAGTAACCCAAGAAGAATTGGACAAGTGTCCATTACCTGTTGGGTTGTATTCTAAGGAAGGGATGCAGATAACCAAGAGGAGTTGGACAAGTGTCCAATACCTGTTGGGTTATATTCTTATGAAGGGATTCAAGTAACCCAAGAAGAATTGGACAAGTGTCCATGACCCTGTTGGGTGGAAAGTAGGTATCCAAGAGGAGTTGGACAGGTGTCCAATACCTGTTGGGTTATATTGTGATGAAAGGAATTAATTAACCCAAGAAGAATTGGACAAGTGTCCAATACCTGTTGGGTGGAATGTAGGTATCCAAGAGGAGTTGGACAGGTGTCCAGTGCCTGTTGGGTTGCATTCTGATGAAGGGATTCAAGTAACCCAAGAAAAATTGGACAAGTGTCATTTCCTTGTTGGATGGAATGTAGGTATCCAAGAGGAGTTGGACAGGTGTCCAATACCTGTTGGGTTGTATTCTGAAGAAGGGATTCAAGTAACCCAAGAAGAATTAGACAAGTGTCCATTACCTGTTGGGTTGTATTCTAAGAGAAGGGATGCAGATAACCAAGAGGAGTTGGACAAGTTTCCAATACCTGTTGGGTGGAATGTAAGTATCCAAGAGGAGTTTGACAGGTGTCCAATACCTCTTGGGTTGTATTGTGATGTAAGGATTTCATTAACCCAAGAAGAATTGGACAAGTGTCCAATACCTGTTGGATGGAATGTAGGTATCCAAGAGGAGTTGGACAGGTGTCCAATACCTGTTGGGTTGTATTGTGAT